AGCACCATCATCATCATGATCATCAGCATAGTGTCATTATCATCATCATCATCATCATCATCATCATCATCATCATCAACATCATCGTTACCATCATGATCATCATCATCATCGTCGTGGCCGTCATCGTCAGCATCGTAATCCCCACCGCCATCCGAGTCATGATCATCATCATCAGCAGCATCATCATCGTCACCATTATAATCATCATCACCACCATCATCATTACATCATTATCATCCTCGTCATTAGCATCAACATCTTCATCATCAGAATCATCATCCCCATCCTCGCCATTACCATCGTGATCACGGCCAACATCGTCATCACCATCATCATCAGCATCACCCTAATCTTCATCCTCATCACCCATCCTCATCATCCATCCTGCTCATCCTCATCCTCATCCTCCTCATAATCCTCATCCTCATCCTCATCATCATCCTCATCATGATCATGGCCGTCGTCACAATCATCACCACAACCCCAGCCTGAGGGAAGGAGGAAGGAGGAGGAGGAGGTGGAGGATGGGGGAGGGGGTTCGGGAGCAGCAGGAAGAGATAGAGGAGACAGGAAGGATAAAGAGCAGGAGGGAGGGAGAGAGGCGGACGAGAAAGAGCAGAAGGGAGGAGTGGCACCTTAATTGTGATCAATTCCCCTCGGAGCCGCGCTTCCCTCTCCCCCACTGGCTCAGCGTTTTGAGAGCCGCGCCTATGTTATCCATGGGCCACTTGATGCTCAGAGAGGGCCAGTCGACCACCTCCTGGAAAGGCATCTCGAGGAGGTCGGACAGGATCACAGGAATACAGCCAAAGAAAAAGCTCTCGTACAAGTGGATCGTCCAAGCGGACGACCCGCGAGGGACCAAGCAGAAGTGGCTCCGGCCCATGCGGTCAAAGAAATCCTCGACGTGCCCGCCCACGCTGCAGTCGGGGATCCCGGAGAACTCGTCCAGGATGTGAGTCCTCACGCGGGCGTCGTGCTTCACGTACAGGTGGTGCGTGCCGGGGTGATTCCCGTGAAATACGGCCAAGAATCCACGCTCGTGGGATGGTTTGTTGAAGCTTCGCATGGCAGAGATTCGCCAACGGTCGATGTACCCAGGAATCATGACATCCTTCCACGGTGAATACCATCTTGGTATTCCGTCGTTGACCTGGTGCGACTCCACGGTCAGGAGCAGCGCATTCCGCAGGGGCTCGACATTGGTCCAGCTTGGCAAATTCGCGGACACGACGAAAAAATGGTCGGCGCCACGATTTCGGGCCAGATACGGGAACACGTCCGCCGCGTCTGGGCCGTGGGAGCGGAACTCCAGGAACGTATCGTACTGCTCGCCGTGGTAGGCTGGAATGAAGAAGAGGTCTGCCAGCTCTGGGTCCTTCGAGCATGGAGGAAGGGGGGGGGCGCAAGGGCAAGAGCGGAGTCGGGGGCAGGGGTGGGCATCGTTTAACCGATCCCCATCCCCACTGGCGTGGCCTGGGCCCCCCTGGCCGATTTACCCCCGAGATGGGGATACAGGCGGCTCCCTTCGGGCTTCGAGGGGCATGTCCCCAACTGGGGTGGTGGGATGATGGAGATCGGGATGGGGATGGGAATGGGGATAGGGATCGGTTAAAGGTCGTGCAAGAATGATGTCATGGTGCGGTTGGCTCAGGGTACGTCCCCAGAATTCTGGAACGTCCCGCGGCCCTCGCCTCTGAAGTCCGCGCGGGACGACAGGAGAAGCAGGGGAATCTTAGAACGTACGATGACCATGACTTCTTGCTTCTCGGAAAGGGGGCGGCAATTGTACTGAGAAGCCCTTGCCACGGCAGGATCGATGCATAACAGCAGGACTAGACCGCTGGCATGTCCTCATGCAAGCCGTCGTAGTTGCTTACTGTATGTGGCAACATGGATGGGCGAAGTAACAGAGAGCAAAATGCGGGAGACCGTCCTCCGTGACGCACGAGCCGCTCTCGAGGAATGCGTGCACATGCGAGGCCGCTGCCATCATGCCTTGGGCTACAACTGATGATCAGAAATACGAATAGTAAGAATCAGTATCGAATAATGCTGATGGTGCTGATGCTGATACCCCTCCTCCTTCCCCGCCTCTTCCTCATCATCATCCTCAACCTCCCCTCCTCCCTCTTCCGATCCTCCTCGTTCTCCTCCTGCTTCTCCCCCCTCCTCCCCCTCCTCTTCCTCCTCCTTCTCCTCTTCCTCCTCCTTCTCCTCGTCGTCATCATCAGCATCAGCATCATCATCGGCATCATCATCATCATCATCATCATCATCATCAGCATCATCATCATCATCATCATCATCATCATCATCATCATCATCATCATCATCATCATCATCATCATCATCATCATCATCATCCGTAGCATCATCATCATCATCATCATCATCATCATCATCATCAGCATCATCACCATCACCATCACCATCACCATCACCATCACCAACACCCTCCTCCACCTCCTAAGCCTCCTCGTCCTCCTACTCCGACTCCTCCTCATCCTCCTATTCCTCCTCCATTCCTTCTCCATATAAATAACTTCGCCCTGTCGCACCCCGAGGCCAGTTCTTAGGGCGGCCCGGGCGTTTCGCCTGAGACTTCCTCACCATGTCTGACTCTGAAGCATAAAAATTGGCAACAGCTTCACAGATAGAGGGCGGGTGGTTTCAAAATGTGGCTCTCGCCTTAGCGAAGCGCACGTTCGTCTTCAAAATTTGCAAGGGCTTCACGGATTGAGGGCGGGTCGTTTTCACTATGTGGCTCTCGCCTTAGCGAAGCGCACACTCGTCTGAAAAAATGCAAGAGCTTCACGGATGGAGGACGAGTCGTTTTCACCATGTGGCTGTCGCCTTAGTGAAGCGCACACTCGTCTGAAAAAATGCAAGGGTTTCACGGGTCGAAGGCGGTTCCTTTTCAAAATGTGGCTCTCGCCTTAACGCCTTCGTCTTTATAATTTGCAAGAGTTTCACGGATTCCCCTGGTCAACGTACCAGGCATGCTGTTTTGGAATGATTCAGGCTTACGAGGGTGCACAAGTATTGATTCGTGGTGTCCAAGTCCCAGGAATTGCGTTCTGGCACGATTCTGGATCATCAAGACGCAACAGTCAGGTTGATCAGTGGCGTTGGAATCCCGAGAACAATGTCTTGGCATGCTTCAGGGTCTTCAAACAGTTGCCTTCCAACGAGGCAGCTCCTTCAGTAAAAAATTAACCGTTGTAGGGGCCTATGAAGAGGGAGCTTGAAGGGAGGGTGTATTCCAACATCGTTGATGCCTCTTGGGTTTACACTGGTCCTCCTCCTCCTCCTCCTCCTCCTCATCCTCCTCCACTCCATCATCCCCTCCCCCCACTCTCTGTCCGCCTGCACGTCTTCATCCCATTCCTCATCCTCAACCTCCCCATCATTTTCCTCTTTCTTCTCCTCCCAGTCCTCCTCCTCCTCCATATCCTCCTCCTCCTCCACCTCATCCTCCTCCTTCTCATCCTCCTCCAATTCATCATCATCCTGCTCATCCTTCTCCCCTCGTGCTCCAGTCCTTTCTCTTGTCGTCGTTCCATTTCTTCGTCCTTCTCATTGTCCTCCTCCATCTCCTCCTCCTCCTCCTCCTCCTCCTCCTCCTCCTCCTCCTCCTCTTCATTCTCCTGCTCTTCCTCCTCCTCCTCCTCATCATCATTGTCATTATCAGCATCATCAGCATCAGCAGCATCATCATCATCATCATCATCATCATCATCATCATCCTCATCCTCACCATCATCATCATCGTTATCATCATCAACAACGTCATCATCACTATCATCACACTCATCATCCTCGTCGACAAGCCTCCCCCCCTGTCCCATTCGTCCTCGTCGTGTTCTCTTCCTGCCCCATCCACTCCTCCATTTCTCTTCCTCTCTCCTCACCAGACGTTCCCGTTCCTCTCACTTTTGACTCCATCGGGTGCCCACGCCGGTTCTCAGACGACGCGTGGCGAGGTCGAGCGTGGAGTTGTAGACGAACACCCGCAGGGGCGAACCCACGCAGTCATGCCTCGCAGTGCCGCTCATGCCAATCATCCTGATCGCAACTCTGCAGACTGTCAACCGTCACAGAGGGAGAGCACACAAGCATTAGCGCGAACTTTCGAAGGTCAGCGCGGACTTCTTGGGCCGCCAGTGGTCCATCTCCTCCTCCTCATCCGCCTCCTCCTCCTCCTTCCTCCTCCTCCTCCTTCCTCCTTCTCATGTTCCCCCTCCTCGTCTCCCTCCTCCTACCTCTGACTCTGACCACTCCTATTACTACTACAGCCACTACTACTGCTACTACTACTACTACTACTACTACTACTACTACTACTACTACTACTACTACTACTACTACTACTACTACACTACTACAACTACTACTACTACTACTACTACTACTACTACTACTACTACTACTACTACTACTACTACTACTACTACTACTACTACTACTACGACTACTCTTACCACTACTACGATACTAGTGCTACTGCTACTACTACTACTACTACTACTACTACTACTACTACTACTACTACTACTACTACTACTACTACTACTACTGCTGATACTACTACTACTACTACTACTACTACTACTACTACTGCTGCTGCTACTACTACTACTACTACTACTACTACTACTACTACTACTACTACTACGACTACTACTACCACTACCACTACCACTACCACTACTACCACTACTACT